AAAAACTCTTTGCTATAGCTCCAGTTTAAAAAACTCTTTGCTATAGCTCCAGTTTAAAAAACTCTTTGCTATAGCTCCAGTTTAAAAAACTCTTTGCTATAGCTCCAGTTTAAAAAACTCTTTGCTATAGCTCCAGTTTAAAAAACTCTTTGCTATAGCTTTATTAAATGCCTCCTCTGCTACGTACAGTTCTTACCACAAGCAGCACAAACATTAAAGACATATAACAGTATAATTACCTCTGATTCGAGTTCTTGAGAAGTGTCAGTGGTGAGGCTGGGTCTATTCACAACTACTTTATGGATTTGATCATCACAGATGATGGAGTCGAGAACCTGTGTATAATCTGATGTAGGTTCATTGTCAATCACTTCTCTAGATTTAAAGTTGTCTTCATCCGAAGCAGCAGTCAAGTGAGAAGTGTCTGAACTTCTAGATATTGCTATGCCAGCTGGAAGGTTTTCTGCTTCATTCATGATCCTGTTATCCTGTATTTGATCTTCACTAGGAGTACTAGCAGCTTCAACTTCAGCTTTTAACTGTTCCAAGTCGTCCACAAACATTTCATTCTCCGAACTGGAATCTGAAGAAGCTTCTTCCAGAGAACCGCAACTCAATACGTTAGTCGACTCATTCTTCCCGTTTCCTGTAGTCTTATTTCTTTCAACAGACACTTTTCGATTAATGGTTTCTGGTGGTAGACATTTTGGCTTCTCGGGCACAGGAGGTGGTTTTTTTGCCTTTCTCTGTATTTCGGAGGAAGGTTTTAATCTTGAGTCATCTGTAATAGTTGGAGCTTCATGAAAATAAGCTTTGCTTGTGGATTGATTTCTTGACTGAGAAGTTTCAAGTTCTAGCCCTTCCATGCAACTAGTATTGATTTCTAATCTCTTATCAGATGTAGCTTTTTGATCATTTTCTCCTTCTGTAAATAAAACAAACCTTGAACTATCTATATTTCATTTCAACAACAACAATATGAGGTGTCTGACAACATCATCGATAATTTGTATCATCATCATTTTACTGTTTACTTCATACTATTTTGTTAACCTTTTATTTAATTTCAGAGTTTTTTTTTAATCAAACTACTATTTACCACTTGGATAGGCTTAACAAACCTAACAGGTGTTTTGGCAAATTAAAACATCAAAAAGATGAATCACATAATATAGACACAACCTTGATATTCAGTTGTATGACACCTTAACTTTAGTAAAGGTCATGAACAATAACAACTTTGATATTCAGTTGTATGACACCTTAACTTTAGTAAGGGTCAAGAACAATAACAACCTTGATATTCAGTTGTAGGACACCTGAACTTTGGTGAGGACAAGAACAATAACAACCTTGATATTCAGTTGTAGGACACCTGAATTTTGATGAGGGACAAGAACAATAACAACCTTGATATTCAGTTGTAGGACACCTTAACTTTAGTAAGA